CCCCCCCCCCTCTGTGGTCCTCTGCTAGGGCGCACAACGGGGGAAGCGGGTGGGGGATGGCCCCATCACTGGAGCCAGCCCATTTCGGAACCCCCCCCCCCCTGTAGGGCGTCCCTGCTCGAGCCCCAGTCCGCCGGGGGGGACGGGGGGGGTGGATGGGCGGGAAAACACCCACGCCCAACGGCCCCCTAGCCCGCCCGGGACACTTCGTGCGCACGCAAGCATACATGCGCCAGCGCGCGCGGGCGCGGGCGCGTGCTCAGGTACGCTCCGACCGAGAAGCCCGCCGGGGCATGCCGCGCCCCCCCCCCCCCCCCCCCCCCCTGCGGTCCTGGGCGGGCGAAGTTGGCGCTCCTGCAGTGTGCGCGCGCGCGCGCGCGCGCGCGCGCGCGCATGTCCATACACGCGCGCGAACAGAAAATGGGCGGGCCGAACCCGGGCGCCCCCGCCCCCCCTCCCCCGGACGGGCACAGTTGGACGCAGGCATGCGCGCGCGCGCGCGCGCAAATGCCGGGAGCGAGCCCGCCGGCGGGCAACGGCACCCCCGGGCCTCGGCCGCGAAATGGGCGGGATCATGGTCGGCGGGCATGGGCGTTTGCGCGCGCACCGGGCAAACTCGGGCCGGTGAGGGAGCGCTAGCGCCGTCGGGCCGGCGGCCCCCGGGGACATGGGGAGCGGGACGTTTGGATGGAGGCCACGCCTTGGGCATCAGCTAGAGGCTACTGCCCGGGAGGCAGCCTGCAGGGTGGGAGCCAATCGGCCACCCGGTTCCCAGCGCGCGTGGGCAGTCCGATCCCCGGCCCGGGCCAGGCTCGGGCGCCGGTCCGGCTCAAGGGTGGCCGCCTGGCGGGCCCTCATGGCGGGGGGCCGGGCGACCGGCCAGCACCACTGGCCGAAGGGCAGTGGTAAAATGCCGATCCCTGCCGGCCCGGCCACCCGGCCTCCAGCCGCATGGGGGCCTCAGCGCGCCGATGCCTGCCCATGGTCCGGCAGCGCGGCCGCCGACCGGCTGTTGTCTGCCGAGGGGGGCCATCGCCGAGGGGCGCGATGCGCCCGGCCCGGGGGGTAGGCCTCCAACGCGGGCCCGGCGCCAGATGGGCCCCCACCTACGGGCCGTCCGGCTGTGCCGGGCGCCTATGGCCGGGGCACCGGGGCCCAAGCTGGCCGGGCAGCGTCCGGACCCAGCCCCTTCCACGAACATCAGAGCAGGTAGAGAGACACCACGAGCGAAAAAGAGACACCGGGGGACGGGCCCAGAGAGAGAGAGAGAGGGAGGCGGGGAGACCGAGCGGGCGAGGGGGGCCGCGGCGCGCCCAGGCCCGCGCCCCCGCGCTGGAGGCATGCACATTGGCGCGCCGCTCCGAGCCCGGCCCATGAACATGCAGCCGCCACCCACGCGTGCCGGAGGGGGGTGGCCCTTCCGGCGCCCACGGGCGTCGGCCGCCATGCTCGCCGGCAGCTGCCTGCCGTTCCCGGGCGCGCCCGGCGCCGAGCGCCCCCGCACGGACCACGGGGTGGTGGCGCGCTCGTCCGGCCAGCATGCCCATGCCTCTGGGAAAAGGAAGCCCGCCAGCCGGGGCGGCCCGCCGGGCGCCCTGGGAAGTCCGCCATTTTTTTCCTTCCCTCGTTGGGCGGGCACCGGGGGTGGGGCCGCGCGCCCGTTGCCGCACCCCCCGCCCCGGGAAGGACTTTGGGCGGGCATTTCCGCGCGTCGCCGCTTTCCAGCCCGCCCTCCCCGGGGAGGGGGGGGGGGGGCGGGGAACCCGGGGGCCGGGGGGACGGGCGGCGGGGGCCCGGAGAGGTCCCCCCTGGCCGGACCGCGAACCTAGGGGGCCCCACCCGTCCAGGACCCCGGAGGAGGCACACCCGCCCGCGTGCACAAAGGTGACAAGCCCCCGCCCCCCCCACTCCGCCCCGCCCCGCCCCGCCCGGCGCCGTCCTGCCCTACCTCGTCTCGAGTGGCCTCTTCGAGTGGCACCGTAGCCCGCCGACCTGGGCAAGAGGCCACAAAACACCGAAACCGTCGCCACGCCGAGGGCTCATGGTGACGGGGATGAAGGCCGAGATGAGAACATGAGAATGGCCGGGGGGAGGGAAATGCAGGGGCCCCTGCCCGGGGACGGTCCATGCGCAGACCGCTGGTCGCGCCCGAACGAGACCGCCCCCAACGCGCAGGCACCGGATCAGAGCCGGGCGCACGGGTCTCTCGCCGGGGAATATGGACACAAAGAACACGGCCACACTTCCGGCGCCGGCCGGTGTCCAGCGTCGCGGGCCGGTGCGCCTACTCGGCATGCCCTCCCTCTCGCAGGTCCTCCGAGCCACAGGGCGAGGGGCCCCAGGCCCGCGAGGTAGCCATTCGATGAAACTGTCGGGGTGCGCGCACAATGAAGCGAGCCCCTGGCAGTGCGCCATGTGCGTGCGCCCTTTGTTTTCAAAGCTACCACCGCCCCCGGCCGAGCCCGGCGCCCTTCGGCGGTGGGGCCCAGTGGCCAGGTCCGGCTCCCGGTGCGATGGCCGGGCACCGGATCGGCGTACACTTAGCGGCGTTTGTTTTCGACATCCTCCCCCCGGGCATATCATTGTGCAGGCCGCCGGTGGCGAAACGGCCCGCCGAACGGTCCTGGAAGGGGACCTCGGCACTTTCAAGCACCACCTGCACGGGGGCCCCACCGGCGGGGGACCGGCCGATGCTTGGGCAGTTGGCGCCCTGTGCAGGCACCACCGCCACCCAGGCTGCGCTGCCTTGCTGCACCCACAGGCCCGCCAGCCTCGCTGGCGGTGAGAGAGGGTCCGGTCGGCCGGACACCGCCGGGCACGCGGCGTGCACGTGTGCCCGGCCCGATGGCCTCACACACCCGCCAGATGCTTGTCACACGGTTGGCCGGGAAAAAATCCCGGACAAAGGAGCGTACCGGCGAGCCGATTGTCCGAGCCGCCACCGGGCTACGGCCGCCCCCTTGGGCCGCCGTCCCGCCTCACCGAGCAGGACAAGACACGAGGCGGCCCGGCTGCGGCTCTTCGCGGCGCCCGGCGGCGACGCGCCCGTGTCACCGTCGGCCCGTGTCCACAGCCGCGCCCGGCACGGCCCCTTCCCGGAGAAAACCGCCGCCCCTTCCTTCGGGGGAAGGGGGAGAAGGCGGGGGGGGGGGGGGGGGGGCGGAACGAGCGGCAGACCCAGAAGGCACGGTGCTCGGTGGAGTCCCGGCGCCCGGAGGCTTGCTCGGGCCCCGGGTCCCAGAGCGGGCCACAATGCTTGCGCCGGCGATTGTCCGCCCAAATGGAAACCCCTGGCTGCCCCGGCGACCCCCCGGGGGGAGAGGGCCCCAGTCGCTCTCCGCCCCCGCCTCCGACGGTCTGGGCAATCGGCGTGTGCTACGGATAACCTAATACCCCCGGGCGGCCGAGGAACGCAGGTCCTCGGAGGGCCGACTGTCGCCCGGCCGCTTTGACCCCGGAAATGCACATATGCGGGGGGGGGGGGGGCATGTCTGGCAAGCGGGCGGGCGGCCGGGCGACGGGATTTCCTGTCTCCCACGCGCACCCAAATGTGGCCCTGCTGGACCAGGCCCCCGCCCCATCTCCTTGGAAGGCGCATCAGGCGCGGAGGCCCGCATTCTTGCGGTCGCGGTCTTTCGGTCCTCTCCAGGCAAGGATGGGACCGGTGTCCGACGACAACCCGCGAATCCACGGGCCCCTTTCAGGACTAGCAAGGAGGCTGAGGCGCGGGGGGGAGGGGGGGGGGGGGTCTTTGCCGACCGCCGTCACCCATGGGCCGCCAAGGAAGGGGGAGCCACCGCGCCCGGAGCCCGGCATACCAGCTCAGGTTCTGCCAGCCATATGATAGTCCCTTGAGCCAGCGCCCAAGCCAGGAAGTCCGGAGACCGGAGGGGACCTGGGGACCGGCCAGGGGGGGAGTTGATAAAACACCGGCCGATTATTATTTACCGCTTTTCCTCGGTTCCAGCTTCGTGTACAAGCATTCGTAGTATCCACTGC